AACCCGGTCGAGGTTCCAAGCGAGCTGAGCCGATACTTAAAGGTGCTTTGAAAACACTGCAGACCACTGATTGGTCAGAGAGAATCGTCCACCTGCAAAACCACGCCGTGGTCAATTGATATGTCTGCAATTGCAGACATATCAAGAACACCGTCCTTTTGATAAAGTAGCGTAGCTCCTTTAAGGAAAAGGGCAGTACATAGAGAAAATGTGTGGTTGAGTGAGTGAGCAGCGTAGTAGTTACCTGGATGTAACTCCAGTTTAGGTGCGTAGCCGGTTAGCAGTGAAGTTGACAGTTTAGCAGTAAATGTACAGTGTAGGTTAAGTTGGTCAATGAATAACGGCAGGAAGGTTAACACCTCCATTGTTCCCGTGTATTTGTGTCGCGTTGAAGAGGATGTCATGGCAGTTTCACGCGGCGTCCCTATGAATCCTGCCTACACTGAGTGAGGGGGTACTATCAGCAATGGAAAACAAAGTACTTAAAGCGAGTGGATCGAGTAGAGTAGAGTCCAGCCGAGCAGTACCATGTAGTGGAAAAACGGTGTTAGTGGAGAAAGCAGGAGAGAGACACACCGGTGGTGGTGGTGGTGGAGGTAAACATGTACTGGATGTTTTGAGGTTAAACAGAGAAGAGGGGACTGGATGCTATGCCACAAGGAACATTAAACACGCACACGCACACAAACACACACAGACACACACACACACACAAGATAAGGTCCTACTGTGTTCACATGCGAGCGTTTGTTGCAATTATTTGCTTTTTAATAAAAGCGTAGTAACAACTAACTGATGCCAAGAAAAACTACCATTATTATTCTACCAGTGATAACTTTGTCAACGACAGCGTTCATCATTGTGAGCCGACATCACAGTATGCTGACTTTGATGAAGCGCTTACATTAAAAAATATATTGCACACTAAATATATTTGTCAGAAAGTATGTATAATAATGGCTAAAACTGCCACAACAACTGTTTTTTTTATATCCCTATTCAAATGTCAACAACAAGTAATCGCTCGTAAACAAGTAATTGACTGTAAATGGTGTGAATCAGCTGCACTCTCCCCCCCACCCACCTCCCCTTCCAAATATATTCAATCTTTCCATGGGAGAGCATTATGAGACGACAACATGTTTGCGGTAACTGTATGTGTGGCGCGGTAATTACCTCTAAACTGCCTCTCTTGACGGGGTTGAGCACCAGCAGTTTCTTCAGCAGGTTTTCACAGTCGGTGGACATGTAGAAAGGAATGCGATACTTCCCCCTCAGGACCCTCTCCCTCAGCTCCTGCAAACAAACAAACAAACACACACAGACACACATACAGACACACACCGAGGGAAAGGTCGAGGGGTGAGCCACAACATTTGTCTGTCCTTATTGGGGCAATAATTGAAAAAGGGTTGCGTTCAATACAGAGGCGTTATTGCTGTATGACTGTATCACTGATTCTTTGTTCTAACGCACAGGAATACAAACAAGCTAATCTCAGATTTATACTGGTATATTTTAAGCCAAATCATGAATACTCTGAAATCCAAGAGCACCTAAAATTAAAAAAAACAATAAATAAATGATTAAATAAGTACAAAAAAAAATCCACATTTGTATTGTACATTGAAATTGACTGAAATTAAGAGATGCTTAGTGTAGCATAAAGCTCAACGTCTTAACAAACCACACTCAACATTTTGGTTTGAATATTTGGATTATAACCAAAGTAGCAAAAGTAGGGACTTCTTAACACTGATCATCAAACTACACACCCACCCACCCACCCACCTTGAGGTTCTGCCCGTCGAAGGGCAGCGAGCCGCTGACCAGCGTGTAGAGGATGACCCCCAGGCTCCAGACGTCCACCTCCGGCCCGTCGTACTTCTTCCCCTGGAAGAGCTCCGGGGCGGCGTAGGGCGGCGAGCCGCAGAACGTGTCCAGCTTGCTGCCCAGTGTGAACTCGTTGCTGAAGCCGAAGTCAGCAATCTTGATATTCATATCGGCATCTAGCAGCAGATTCTCCGCCTGGTGGCGGGGAGACATGATTGGTGGTCGTATGGTCAAATGATCAGCCGGTTGGACCTAAAATAAGTTAAGATAAGCTAAGCTAAGCTAAGATCAACTTAACTAAGATAAGATAAACTAAGTGAAGATCAACTACAGTAAGATGATTTAAGATAAACTAAGATACGTTTAGCTAAACTAAGCTAAGATAAACTAAACTAAGATTAATTAAGCTAAACTAATCAAAGATCATCTAAACTAAGATAATTTAAGATAAGCTGAGCTAAAATAAACTAAGCCAAGATAAAATAAGGTATGGTTATTGGTTAAACTATAATAAAATTAGCTAAGCCAAGCTAAAATAAGCCAAAATAAAAGAACATATGATGAGGTAAACGATATTAATCCATTTGGGGACATTTGGGTGTGAATTACAGCACAGTAAAATAATTAAAAAGGAGATTACAGTTTACACAGTGAAACAGTGATACAAGAAACGGTGCAGAACAGCCAGCACCATCTTCTTATACCTTTAGGTCCCTGTGCACTATCCTCCTCTGGTGACAGTACTGCACTGCAGACACAATCTGAAATACAAACAAACAAAACACTTGCACGTGTATACACACACACAACATGACATATATATGCCACACACGCATTGTAAAATATCCAATTCACCTGCAAATGTTGCCATGAATCAAACCAAATGGGACAGCGCATACATTGGGTTAGACGACATAAACCATATCCATATTTTACACTTATGTGGGTGGAAGGGAGCCGTGTTCTCTTATTCAGGCAGGCCGAGTGTATTCCTGGTGGATCACCCACTAGGGTTGATTCATGCGCACAGTAAACTGTCCCTGCGACAGATTGAAATTCATAACTACATTATTAAAGCTCAACCATCGATTATATAAAAAGATCTTTAGACAGAACCCTCTGATGTTGTTACTTCACAGACACAGGCGCGCGTGCCTAGTTGCAACACACAGAGCAGGGTTGTGCAGGGTTGTGTTTGAGTGTGCACAGTGAGTGTCCACATTGAGTGTGCACGCTACCCACGCTCTTCCTCTGACTCATCCCAGGCTACTGATGAAGGATATTTAAATCTTGTCGTTTTTTCTCTGCTGTGACTTCTGTACAACACTTGACATTTAAATCTGTCAAAATTATTTCCACAAATGAAACAAAAAACAAAAACAGCACAACTTGAATATCATGAGGTGGGATTGCATTGTGAGAGCCTTTGTGTTTAGAAAGCTTGCACTATAGACAGGTATTATTGTAATGTGTTTTATATTGTGTCTCCGACACCTTAAAGGCCAGAAGTACACCGGCTCCTACATAGGTGATAGATTGAGAGTGAAAACATGACTGAGAAAACATTACAAAACCCTGCTTCATAAACTGAGAAAAAATTACAAAACCCTTCATTAACAGAAAACCTTATAAAACCCTGCCTCATTAACAGAGAAAACATTATGAAACCTGCTTCATTAACCGACCCTTTCCCTTCTATTTTCACTCCAGAGAGGTTCTCCTTCTCTGCAGAAAAAGTGCCTGAAGGAATTGTTCATGTTTTAAAATGCCCAAAACCAAAACCACATTCTGCTAAATAACAGACCTAAATCATAATTTAACTGGTGCAAGTGCAAGACACAGTGAAACACAGACACAGACGGAGCCCAGATTCACAAACTGTATGTGCTATTGTAGAACCGGCTTCTTGGAAATGAATGTTATCCGTGTCCACGCCAACAAAGTTATCCATCTCAATCTAATCCTGGCCACGGATGACTAAGCCATGTTTGGGAATAGAGAGCATGGTGAGGCTCTCACGGCAAACAATGCAGGGGAAATAATGGATTGGTGCTGCAGTACGTGTGTGCGTGGCGAAGTGTGAGCCGGCGTTTGTTTTGGCAGATGACTCACCTGTCGGAACTTGGCCCTGGCCTCCTTTTCCTTCATCCGCCCGTGGGCCACCAAGTAGTCAAATACCTCTCCTGGGTTAGGAGGACAGAAAATAAAGTTAGGATTCAGCAGAATTCAGAATTTTTAACATCATCATGATCATCGGTGTTAACATAAACACTGTCCTGAGCAGCCAATCCCTTTCAGACCAGCTGAGGTCATTGAAGTCTTGTGCGGCTAGTTAGCTTCGTTCCAAGTTAGCTTGTGCATTCAGTGCCGTTTGCACTTGCGTAATACCGCGGACATGACAAGGTCTATGAGTACAAAGGACTGAAAAGTTACACTCACCGCCGCTGGCGTACTCCATCACCAAGTACAGTGTCTTCTCCGTCTCGATCACTTCAAACAACTTCACTGAAGAGGGGACAGAAAAGAAGAGGAGGGTGGAAATGTAGGAAAAAGGAGGAATTAATAAATAGGGTCAATTTCAAACTCAAGTGAACTCTAGTGTTTTGGTCTTTGGTGCATTTAATTGTACTGGTAATGTTAGGTGAGCAAGTAAGTGGCATACTTTTACTACTACTACTAAGTGCAGTTACCTTTAATTACCTAAATTACCTTTAGATTGATCATACATTACTAGCAGGAATGCCATTAAAATCATGTAAATACCATCAATAAAACACAATGTAGCATGTTCATGTGTTAATACCTACCGATGTTTGGATGATTCAGTATCTTCATTATTCGGACTTCCCTGAACAGCTGTTGGAAAGATAAAGGGTAACCCATGAATAAAATAAATAGGTCAGGGACATCACAGGTAGTCATGTGTGACTAACACATTTCCCCGCACAGGGGCCGCTGTCTTCACCGCTGTTATTGGGCTGCCGGGGCACGACACGCACGCTATAAAAGGATGTTGTTGTTGTTGTGATCTGTTGTTAACCTGTGTGTCTTGTGCTCAACGCGTTACGTTCCTTCTACTAGATGTGGCTAATGGATAGAATGGGGATTTAGTGCTCTTTAAATAAACCTTTTATATAAAAAAAGATTGTAATTCAACATTGAGTAGGGCAGGATAGCCTAGTGGTTAGGGAGTTTGACTCCCATCTGAAAGGTTCTGGGTTCAAACCCCAATAGCCTGCATGTGTGCATACCCTTTCTTGAGCAAAATACATTATTAATAACAATATTGAAAATTAAGTCGCTTTGGATAAAAGCATCTGCTAAATGGCTAAATAGTAAATACAGTGACACTGCACTTTACATAACTTGATCATATTCCACATTAACACATAATGTATTGCCATGACTCTTTCCCTTTTTGGTCAACATGTGATCCAAACCATGTGCAACAAGTATACAACTATAGACAACATTTGTATGTATGTATGTATGTATGTATGTATGTATGTATGTATGTATGTATGTATGTATGTATGTATGTATGTATGTATGTATGTATACACAAGTTGTATGTAACAAATATGTAGTCCACCAGACATCACACATCGTCATGACCTTGCCCCGGCTGCAGTTAAAAAATATGTTTAGACGGTTCATCTCGGTCATAACCATGGATGCAATAAAAAAATAAATCACATTTTTAATGTGTGATTGATGATGATGGATGCCAGGAAGGTGTGCTATTCAGACCTAACCAATCGAAGACGTGGCAATGGCTTTGTCTCCAAAAAATATACACACGGCATGGAAAATCTTGACAATGACAATTTAAATGGAATCCATCATTCAAAATCAAAAGGAAGTTAAGGAGTTTCCGAACCTCATCATCTCATCCCCTGATTGATCAGACTGTGCAAATTAAATGAAAACACAGGTGTCTCAAACCCCAAGGACACGAGAGATCCAGTTCCTCCAATCAATACAGAGTAAATGCACTATAGTGAGGTCAGGCACGTTGATCGAAGGCAGCCCTGCGTATTTATAGCACTGTTCTAACTGTAGAATGTGATATTCTCCTCTAGAATAGGAAAACAATAAAGAAGCAGCCATGGGAAATAAGCAAATAACTTTAGGGGGACATTTTTACGTTTGTATACAGAAGACTTTTCATGGTGTGAATGTAATGCTGCTTGAAGTCTTCATGACCTGTATACAAAGGGCCTATGGTACTTGACTTTGAGGGGAGGCAAAGTTTATTGACCAGGCACACGCGCACACGCACACGCACACACACACCTAAAAAACACCCTACACAGACAAACAGCCACCGGCATCTACGAAGCTAGCCAGGCGTCAAGACAGGCAGCCAGCTAATCGCTAACCCTCCAGGAACAAGCAGCAAGCCTGTGAGACAACAACAACAACACATTCAGCCAGCTATGGCTCACACAGAAGAGGTAGGCTGACCGCGGTGATGTCACTCAGACATCTGCTGCATGCACCATGTTATCGTGTTAGCATCGACATGGACAACCGACCAGCAACATTACATCATTGTGATGAGTCCCAAAACCCTCTGGGCCAGTGCTTCCCAATCTTTGACTTTAGGTGTACCACCAAGACCTCACAAAACCTTTCACGGACCACCTCATATGCAAAAGCCCCCTTTATACATAATTATTACTGTGAAAAGGCCAGTGGGTAACGTGGAAAGAAAAAGTCTGCAATGCTGCTTCTGCTCCCAATGTGTTTATTTAGCAAACACAAATTAACACAATGCATCAATGGAAAACATTACAATGGAAAACATATGATGGTAGGCACAAAGCGACACTATTTTTGAAATAATAACAAGCCATAATACCATATTTACTTAACAGTATTTATAATATATTTGTTTTCAATTATATATATAATTTTTTCTATTATTGTAAATTTGTCTATTTCAAGAATAAAATCCCACGTACCACAGGTTGAAAAACACTGCTCTAAGAATCAAAGTCACAGACACAGACCACACCCACCGCAGAAGGTGGTGGGGCCTGTGAACACAATTTGATTCCTAGATAATAAACCAAATCCAATCATGTGCACAGACACCTCCCACTTATGAAGTGGGCGGGGCGAAGCCAGACATAGAGTGATCCAAGGTTATTTGTCTGGTGTCTGGTGAAAACCTAAAAATATAAATGACCCTTGAATAAGACGTCAGGAAAGAGGGTGAAACAGGACGGAGAAGACATCAGAACTGGAAATGGAGGGACTCTTGGTACCTCTGTACCTTGCTTGTCAGACACCGACACGTGACCTTGTCTAGCCACTGAGAGGTGCTGTTTAATCATTTAAATACTACTGCTTCATCAGGACTACACCCTTTGTCAGATTTCACTCCCAAATGTCACTCAACCTGGGATTTAACAGCTAAACAGATTATATTAACAGTTCAACAGATTTTAGCCCAATCTGTGATTGAGCTACTTAGCCCTATGGAGAATGTGATAAAAAAAGGTGATTTTTTTTAAACTGTCAGTAAAATGATTGATCCATTTGTGAGCGTTCCTAAATGTGAAACAGATGTACCCGTGTGCATGCGTCCGAGTGTATGGGGTGGGGCTAAAAGAGGAAGAACAATCAGGCCAGGAATGAAAGAGAGATAAATTAAAGACAGTACACACACACACACACACAAGCTAGTCAGTTCCACTACCGTCAGACCTGTTTGCATTGTAATAGCGCTGCTGTTTAATGACCTAGAAACACAAACTATCCAAGCACTTATGTAAGGCCCAAAAGGCCATTAGCAAGTTTGTGCTACTATGCACACAGACGCTAGCACAGCATTTAGCCAGCCTGCTGCAGCAGAGTGCTTAAAAACTATAAGTGCGTCTGTGTCTGTGATAGGGGAGCACCAACCATGATGCTTTAGAAATTGATTGTAATAATCTAATAGTTCTGATATGAAGAGGTATGTGTATGTTGTAAAAGGGTTTGTTTTTCCTTTATGTTGACTTGAAACAGACAAAACCAACCACTGCAGAACAATAAACCAGACAGACAGACAGACAGACAGATAGATAGATAGATAGACATCCATCTATCTACACATCTGCTTTAGTACACGCCAATATACATAGTACACTACACGCCAATACACACCTGCTGCAGTACACACCAATATACATAGTACACGCCAATACACACCTGCTGTAGTACAGGCCAATAAACATAGTACACGCCGATACACATCTATGTAGTACACGCCAATACACATAGTACACACCAATACACATCTATGTAGTACACACCGATACACATAGTACATGCCAATACACATCTACAGTAGTACACGCCTTCTTGCCTCACGCCACATAAGTGGCTTTGGCTCGGGCCCTCCGACACAGGACACAGTTAGATGGTACAAGCCGAGCAGGTGTAACACTCAGCCATGACAGTGGCTCTCTCCTGAGTGTGTGTGGTGATGGCTGGTTTATCCTGGGTGCCATGATGGCTCTGCAGCACAGGTGTGAAGCCCCACCCAGCCCAGAGTCCAATCAGTCTGACTCGGGCCAGGTGAGGCTTTAGACCAGCTATCAACCACACACACTCCACAACACGTCTACTGTAGTACACGCCAATACACATAGTACACGCCAATACACATCTTCTGTAGTACACGCCAACATATCGACAGTACAGTACGCGCTGTTACACATACTGTAGTACACGCCAATACACATATACTATAGTACATGCCAATACACATCTGCTGTGTATACACCAATACGCACCAATAAACCCTGGCAAGTCAACCACCACACACACACACACAACCCGCACATGCCATACACTTTTATATTTATATACACACACACACACACACACACTATATTTTCCAGAGAGATTCTCTATAGCATTTCTCAGATTGCTATCAGTACAACAATTTCATCTCTTTGTCCATCCGTCTATCGGTCTGCCTCCGTCTCTCATGTTGCTCTCTCCCTACATCTCCCTCCCCCTCCCTCTCCCTCCCTCTCCCTCCCTCTCCCTCTCCCCCTCCCCCTCCCTACATCTCTCTGCCTCCCTATATCCCTCCCTCTCTATATCACCCTCTCCCCTCCCCTCGTATTTGCGTCATTGCCCTCCGGTCCCTCACAGGGGAAGCATGTGGCATATGGCCATTTGGAAACATAACTCAGATCTGAGAGAGAAGGACCCGAGCACTACCCAACAACACAGATTGTTACAAAAAACAACAACAACAACACAAATCTAGCCTTTGTGGATACAAACTGAATAGAGAATAATATAATATACCCTATTAAGGGTGGAATCCATGGAATGGAATAGAACTGTATTTGTTGAGGACATGCATAGGGTCGGCAAAAACAGTAAAAGTCCAATCAAAAAACATTAGGTGTGCATACAACCCGCTTAGGACGCATAACGGATGGTCGGATACGTTTATTTCTCTTTGGAAATAGCAATAGCCCCCCATGTGAGGGCTAATCGCAGACAAACGAAAGACCAAAGAAAACGCCATCTTGTTCAAGGTAAACGGACGAATTGTTCAGGGTAAGGAAAACAACTACAAAAAACAGCCCGGCTCGATTCATTCGTCAAGCACGGCACCGGAGAACGCGATTGTTAACGCGACGGCCTTGATTGTATTATCAAGCACTCTAGCCCGTTTGATGCACGCACAAAAGCGCAATTTAATAAGTTGGCACGGGGAAACTCGGTTGTCTGCGTGCCAGTGACCTACTTACGAGTCACCCAGAGGCGACCAGACTACCAAACTAGCCTTAATTACCGCGGTGTCCCCATGCACCGGGAGCTCAGACCAGGGGAGAAAGCTCGCCGGACCTGGCTGGACTATTTCAGTAACCGTAGTACAGCTGCTTATTCAACATGGGATTATTGATAGGGCAAGAAGCCTGCACGGTTCTGCCTCCTCCCAATAAGGGTGTGTGTGTGTGTGTGTGTGTGTGTGTGTGTGTGTGTGTGTCGAGCGTGAAAGAGGTGGTCAGTGGACGTTTTGTTTGTTGCACGTTTTGAACTCCTGACTAATGACAGATTTAAAAAAATGAAGCTAGACAGCGACACTACAGAGAGCCAGCAGGCACAGAACTGAAATCAGATGAACCATGAACCACTCTGCCTGTCCACATACCAGAGGCCTCTTCATGAAGAGAGAGCCCTGCTATTCATCTACACACCAGCAGCCGACAACAGTCATGGAG